TGATATGTCTGAAATACACGATATCTGCGAGATTCGTTACAAATGAAACCTCTGAACCTCGGTCCACTTTGTTCCTATGGGATTCCTTTCATTAATGTTAGCACGCGCCCATCCACGTCCAGCAGCAAGTACCCAGACATAAATTCCATTCGGAGAAGCAAAAACCTACGAAAAAGAATCATTTCGCCTTTTATGACTTCGTCTTGCAATTATTGCGAAAGCCGACGTTGTAAGAATGGGATGAATGATGTCAGCAAAGTCTAAGGCTTGTCCACAAGCGTCACATTTCAGCTGCAGTTGTGAGTGATTCCTAACGGAGCGCATAGGGAATTTAAGCACTCCAAGGCTTTCAGTTTTCGAATTTAAAGACGAAACTTGCAAGCACACAACTATTCTGGTCGCTGGAACCAAACGCTTTTATTGGAAGGCACGTCCACCAAAACTGAAGTCGGTAATATTTTGACGCTTTTAATAGAAAGGCCTCCTAACTACGTAATCGCCCAGGTCGCGCTGCAAAAGGTGAATTCTAAAGCGAGAAAATGGATCCAGAAGGTAGAAGCAGCACAGGCGGCATTCCCATAAAGTGGGTGGTCTGAAGATAATAAGTCCATTGGGCTTCAACGTACATACCTGGGATTGTCATCATCCGTTTCATTATTACTATTTTTCGACATTTCTGTCTACTTTGTAGCCTAATCTTCTAGTTATCTTCGTACTACTCACTTGATGATGCCGCGTGGGTTGCTTCTACCCTCCGGAGCAATTTTCTCACTTCAGTCACCTTTTGCAGCGGGACTTAGGCGATAACTTATTTGAACGCTCCGCTACATACCATCGAAAACTCATCACCCTCAATTTTGGGTGGACGGTGCCTTTAGGGGATTTCTTCTGTGACAGCGATCTGCCGCACATTTTTTACGGTGAAGGACCTTCCACCTCTACTTTGAAGCTTCCAAACTGTCAAAGTCTCAGTAACCATACCAATTCACAATAAAGATACTTCAAGTTTTGACTTCTGCCAAAAATCAGAAATGCATGTACAGCAGGAATTTGTGAAATGAGATCGGTTATTGGCTAATATGTCTGCACTTCATATTAGAGCAACAAACCTGTGTTGGTACAACATTGGCATCTACATCCAATGGAGCTCCGACGACAGACCACACACTCGATCCTTCCATCGATACAAGTATTCTACCATTGCAGGTCACCGCCCAAGAAGACAGCTTGCAGTGCGCTACAGAGCATACAGGTTCTAAAACACTAACCAAGTGGGCAATCTTGTCTAATAAATGAGACATTTCTTCTCCGTAGATTTTTGAAACCTATTCTGAGGATAGCTGGCTCTCCAGCTCGGCTTTTTTCTCAACAAAATACACACTTTGACATTACTTGACGTATTTGCGAGAGATCGAGTATGTGACATCTTTCGATCCATCGAGTGAAAAAAAAAACAATGAAACGAAACACGAAGTCAGAAAAAATTGCAAGCTAAGCAAGATGAGGGCATTGTCGACTAGATAGGTGCAAAGCTGCAGGGAACACAATTTAAAACGCTCATTTGATTTCGAGTAGATACTCTGTATAGAGCCTACATACCTGGCAATGTCACAGCTTCCCAGTTTGCAGTCTCACCATCAGACGAAAACAGTTTGCCACTGCTGTCAATTAGGAGCAGTTTCTCTGCAGCACCGCATAATGAGATAACCTCAAAAACTGTTCGGTAATGGGCTAAACATTAGAAATGTCAAAGTACTAATTATTGAAAAAGGCTATAAAACGTAAAAAATAAAATAAAAATGAGTTTTCCTGATTTTCTCGGCAGAAAATTCTGAAGGAATGATCCAGCATTTCAGATGAAACTAACCGCTTGAGATGTTATCGGAATAGCGAGCGTCACAAAGTTGCGTTTGTCCGGTCGATATACAAAAACTTCCGAATCTTCTCGACATAGGTGGATAAATCCTAGAATCTCTACATGAGAATATGGAGATACTAAATTAACCTCAGAGACCTGTCGTTCCTGTGAAAGAACCAGCGGAAAACAACGAAAAATTATCCAAAAGTTCGAACTTTGGAGGTATCGCTCTGGGAAACCTAAACAGTTTGCATCTTCACACTGAAGCAAATTCTACGAAAGATAAGATCCTGACAGGACTGGTTACCTATGTCCAGATAAAGCACTTCTGGAAAAGTACATCACCTTCCCCGTGCACAGAAACAAACCAACAGATGAAACCCTGCAAAAAACATTCCAACAAGAGCTAAGGTTATGTGTTGACAGATTCACCGAACACTCCAAGCAGTTACTGGGGCAGTTTTGACATCAATAACAGGAAGACAAACCTGAAAAAAAAAGATCTGGATCTATGTTATGACGTGCACTATCTTCAACGAATTCTACTACCCTTTGCCATGAAGATGGCGGGTTTTTTAGTGTTTACCATGGATCTGCGAAGTTATGAGTAGCCCAAGTCCTCGTTTACACTGGATCAACTTATGGGTAACGTTGCCAAAGTCGTTTACTCATGCACGTGCAAAAGCAAAAACTGAGATCAAGCTGTTTTCGTGATTGTATGAATCGAAATGCGGTAAGGAGTAAGTATGCGGGTGAAACGATGTCTGTAGTCAAAAACATCGGTTACTTTCATCCTGGTACGATAGCGTATGCATACCACTTACAATTACTTAGTTTAGAACACGCATATGTATATTCAAATGTATATTTGTTTTGTACGGGTAGGTCAAAGGAGTTCTTATTTGCCATATTGAGGACCTTGCAAACATTTATGCCAAAAGCCCAGTGATGTGAAGTACTGGTTGAACTATCATTCCCCTGATCATGAACTAATTTCTCACTCTGATCTTAGACGGACTTGAAAAGTAGATAAGAGCGAGTATATCACGAAAAAAACCAAAGTCACATAGAAAAAGAAAAGCGGCAAGTAGGCGCCCATATGTCCGCTTACCGCTCCGTTTGCCAATTTTTTTGTCAAAACAATCAAAGAGTACGCGAGGAATGGCATTCATTCTCTCCTCGGTTTCGAACGAAGGCCCAAAACTGCACCGCCTACGGCACTCAACTCAAAAATCTAGACTTGACTCTACAACTCAAACT